CAAAGCTGCCCTCTCCGCCTGAATTACTTGATGATGTAGCAAAATTTGAAAGGTCCGTAGCCTTTTTATCGAGTATTTGCATTGGCACTTATACAACTGGCTTCCTATTAGGCAGATGAGCATGATTCTCAATCGGCTACAACTACTGCCAATAGAAAACGATAGACAAGATGGACTAATTGGCAGAGGCTTTGCAAAGTCGAAAGAGGCGTTAAAAGGGGATGATATCAAGCATGAATTGAGCCAAATTCGTCATAACGTCCATTCATGCCACAAGAATCTTCTTGTAAGTGTCACTAGAGCTATACTGATTTAGTTACTATCTCACTTTCTTGGTAGAGCAAGAGCAATATCCGCACTGAAGCAACAGTTCACGCTGTGTATCAAATGTTAGCACAGGTACGAGCACTGGCAATGAACTACTTGTTTATCCATTATTCAATACTCTGCCTTCCACTGTAGAGACTAATCATACAACCGACTCCTGGCTCTGAATCAAGCCAAATGAATATCCTCCAGGAGAATGAACAAAAAACAAGAGATCAACTCAGCACAAACGGTGCAAATGGTACTTCGGGTATGCAAGTAAATCAAAATGGAGCTCATGTAGAGAGTCACGTTGATCGTGCACCTTCGATAAAGAGCGCAAAGGCAGTGAGCAATCTTCCTTCGAGTTGCTTGACCCAAATTGACCTATAATCAAATTTCGAAGTCCATAAAATCTGTTTCATCTTCGTTCCTCGAGAGGGACTACCTCAGAAGAAAGACCAAAGACTTGAAAGTGGCTTATTTACAGCATCAAGATCAAACATCCAGGTCACAAAAATCCTCTTGGTTTACTCTATTCCGCAATAGCAATATCGCCGTATGGGAAGAAGATCCTCCTCGCTTTCGTAGTAAAGAGGATTCATCTCGTGAAACGCTCCGTGTTCTGGATATTCTACGATCGGGTAGAAATTTATCAGCTGTCGAGGTCGCTAAGCTCTTTCTTGGTCTCGCGCAAGCACTGAAGGACTCAGGGGAGCACGAAGCGAGGGGTGCCATCATAGCTCTTGGGGTTCAGAATTGTTACGAACTCACAAAATCTAGCAATGCGAAGATCCTCATCAGCTTCATTGAATTCGTATATAAAGAATTCACAGAGATCGCTATCCATGGAAGAACAGAGGATGCCAAGATATTGCTGGATTGTGGAGTCAAGGTACGGCGCCGGTTGGAGGAGCAGGATGAGAGAGACTACGTCTTCAAACTTGCTTCATTCCTCAGTAACACCTCTGATGAATTGAAAAGGATGGGTCAACTGGATGCACGTATGCACATCAGCAAGGAGGTTGTCGAAATACGGCGCAACGCCGTGCAATTTGACCGGGAAACACACCTACCCGACTTGGCAAAGTCCTTGCATCAATTGGCACTCTGTCTCGTAGAAGTGCATCGCTACAGTGATGGTGTAAATGCAGCAATCGAAGTCCTCCGATTGAGCAAAGAGTTGGCGGAGGGGTTTCCCGGACAACATCTGCGCAACTTGATAACCTCGCTGTTCGAATTCCTTAATCGCCTGGAAGAGAACTATCAAGATGGCGTGAAGGCGGGACAGGTCGCTACCGCAGGATATATACCAGATCTCAGTATATTATCCCAATTGGCACTTCAACTTGACAAGGAGGGAAATCACGAAGCTGCTGCAAAAATTGGCGAAGCGATTCTGAAGATGCATCGTGATTTGATGCAGGAAGACTCCAAAGTCAATTTCTCCGAGTTTACGGACGCTATTCGCCCCCTTTGGTCTTTTCTTAAGGACAAGGGAGGACACGGTGGCGCTGCTTTGAGGGGAAGAGAGGCTGTCGTCGGGGTTGCTCGAGAAGCTGCGAAGAGAGATCCGGCCAGGAATGTGTCAAAACTGATTCTGTCATTACGTTACTTAGGCCGCGAGCTGAGCCAGTCAGGTAGCCATGAGGAGGCGGAGAGGATGGGAAGGGAAGCAGTCGCGCTTGGTCGACAACTTGTCCAAATCGACCGCGAGCGCAATCTCCTTACACTCAGCGCGACGCTACATCAGCTAGGAGGCTTTTTGTCCGAAGCAGGATTGCATGACGAAGCAGTGAAGGTAGGAAAAGAATCCGTTATAATGGGTCGGGAATTGGTGAAAAGGGAAGAAGCAGAAAGCCACTTGTTTGACCTTGCGGTATCCTTATGTGATCTGGGGTTCGCACTGCGATGCTTGGAACTGCGTAACGAAGCCAAGGAAACTGGAGAGGAGTCTGTCAAGATCCTTCGAGGACTGGTACAGAAGGACCGCAAAAAATATCTTTCTAATCTTGGGTCATCCCTCAATCACCTCCAATTCCATTTCGGGGCGGTAAAGCAATTTGAAGAAGGAGTAAAGATTGGATTGGAGGTTGTCGAGATTCGCCGAGAACTGATTCAGACAGACCGCAAGGCTCATTTACCTGACCTAAGCCAGTCATTACGCAACTTGGCTCATGGATATGCTGAAACTGGAAGGTATGAAGATGCAGTGACGATTGGAGAGGAGGGGGTAAAGCTCGATGAGGAACTTGTGCAGAGAGATCGCGAGAGCCACCTTCAAGATCTCGGTATATCTTTACATAAGCTCGCATTTTATTTCAGCAGTACCGGTAGACATGAGGATGCCGTTCGTGCTGAGGAGGACGCTGTCGAGATCTGCCGTGAACTTGTCAAGAGAGGCCCTAAAGCTCATCTCTCCGAACTCCGAAAGAGGTTGAAGAAATTAGCTTTCTTTCTTAAACAAATGGGGCGCTATGAAGAAGCCGATATAGTTGAAGCGGAGGTCGTCGAACTTAGTCGGTACGTTGTGTTGATTTGAATGCCGGCTGTTTATAACGACAACTTATGGTATTTCCATTATAGGCGAGCTTTCTGACAAATCGCCTAGTTTAGTACATCCTGTGATTCGAATCACTATAATTCGACTTGATCACTCTAGAGTACAAGCTTTGGACAACAATAACTAAATTTGAATTGCCACCGTGGCAGTGCGTGATACCGCATCAGCTCTTACTTTTCTTTGATCAGTATCATCTACAGAGCTTCAAGAGACCTCTTGAATAATTGCAGGTCTCACCAAGTGTTAAGCTGACTCTGACCAACCGCCTTGTTGGTTATGATGCGTCGTAACAAAACCTCACCATTCTCTTTAGATCACAGAAACCGCTGAAATAAGGGGACCAATAGGGTATTTCATCTGATGTGCACTCAGGTGTACTATTCTAGTGCTCAGAGACAGGTGGGGTCGGGAAAAGCTGATAACTGAGTGGTCTGGGTCATGGGAAATAGAATCAAAATCATACGACAAACATGCTCTGATCGTTCCGTTAATGTCTACAATGTTTCAGCTTCAAGTTGCTCGTGAACTTTGAAGAAATCGAACAATCGACAAACATAATCTTTCGACTATTTCCCATCGCTGCAACGGCCCTGCAAAATTCAAAGTTCCTATGCTCCATGGGCTTGAAATACGAGAAGGAGCTGGGGAGTGTGGAAGTCGAACTCTCTAAGTTGACACCTTTCTCTCCAATTTCCAGCTCCGATCCAACCAACCTTGGAGAAAATAAAATCCTACATCAGACACCAGAACGTTGAATGCTTTGCCCCGACCAAAAATCAAAAAAGAAGCTGACGAGAGTGGGATTCGAACCCACGCCCTTTCGGACCAGAAATTCCGTGGGTTCAAATCCCACATGGACCTTAATCTGGCGCCTTAGACCGCTCGGCCATCTCGCCGGTGATAAATAGTTCTTTGTAGACACATAGACGGAGAATTTTATGATACACTCTAATTCTCTGCATTTGAGGACGTACGATTCCAGGAAGCTGATGAACGCATTGATCGACATCACAATAGAAGATGGTGTTGCTGCTGAAACTTATGGTTTCTTCCAAAACAAGCAGCGACACATCTCGGACAGCGCATACCAAAGGCTTTCTGGAGGAAAGGAAGAAATCATCTGCAACATAGATTTTATTGATGGTGCCTAGAAATCATGTAAATACATTTGTATATTGATAAAGTATTGTGTGAGTTCGAATACTTGGGTCAAAGCTGTAGCTTGACTAAAATAGCAATAATGATTGCTGACTCATCAGTATTCAACTTCCGACTCTCTCTTCTCCTCAGTTTTCCACTTAGATAGAGTCGCTTGGTCTCAACTCAAACTGACAAGCGCATTCCCTAGCCGACATATTGCGGTCCGACCATCTCCGGCGGCACAACCATGACGTCCCTGAATTTTTTGTTAGTGAAAGCGCTGTGCTCGCATCTCTTGACCAGATGCTAAAGGGCATGAGTTGCTCAGTGGCTAATCCCCCGTAAGTCTCTATCATCGCTTCAATCAAGTGAGAATATTGAATTGAGATACAATAGTAGAGTATTGAAAGAGGATAGCGTCGGTAAAATAGAGACGAAGATAAAGCAGATCACAGTGGCGATGGACTCCTTTCGCACAGTGGCACTCGCACAACTTTCTTGCAAACGCCATCACCGCAACGTCCTAGTATCTCACATACACCAAATTCCAGAAGAAATCATCTTCAACATTTTTCACCTTTCTTCCAATGATCCATACTCATGCAAGGCCATCAATTCGCTTCGTCTTGTTTGTCGTCGATTTCATCAAGTGACCGAGTCGACACCAACTCTCTGGTCCTACATCAGATATCCAGGCGACAGAACGACCTGGGTCAACGCCCAACTCTTGAGATCGAAGTCAACTCTCTTGGACAATCTCCTAAGTTGCGAGTTATCCAGAGAGCAAGATCGGTCTATGTTTGACTTGATCTGCCATCATATGAAACGATGGAAAAGGATCAATATTAGGTTTAGAGAGGCGCAGTATTTGGGAACCAGCTCCTGGAGCTGCTCAGCCGACTTTCCAAGGATAGTGCACCTCACCTAACGGAATTCAAACTCAAGTGCTTCCATTTGTATGACCTGAAAACGCCGCTATTGGATCTCTTCAGAAGCACCAGTCCCCTACTTCAGCTGAGCAATACGCTCATCTCTTGGAATCGTGTCCCAACTTGGAGAGGCTTAGGATTCAGTGTTTACCACAGTACTATTTTGCTTTCAGTAGTGAATCGTTCGTTCCCCGCTGCCATCTCCAAAACCTTCAGTTCTTGAAGCTTGAATATATACCTCTTCCAATCATTCGCTCCTTTCCATTCAACAAACACCCCTGCGGGTCCACATAAAATTTCTAAATCTGCGTCTAGCCGATCGAGTGATCCTCCTTCAGCAGACCCTTCAAGACACTGCACATATTCCATGGTTCTTCAATGCGTTTCACGCTGCACCCCACGTCAAACTACATCAATCTTGGCCCAATTCGGCACTGATAGAATCAACATCAGACTTACCCAATGGAAAGCATTCCAAGATAGTTTTCTGGACCTTCAATATTCAGTCGCCCATCTTGTTTCTTCCAACTGCGGCCTGCCTCCATTAACTACTCTCGGAGACTTCGCACATTGATTATCGATGGAGTAGACATGAACCTCGGCTGTCATGCCTTCAATCGCCTCGCCGAAGAGCTGATTGAACTCAAAGAACTCTCTGTTACTATCCACTCGACATTAACGGTGGATATATTGCAACTCTTAATGAGTCCTACTGAATGGTCCGATACGGATACACCATCCAACCGGCTACGGATGCTAATCCGTCCGGATGGCTTGCCATCGGTTTTGGCCTTTGTTATTGGTCGATACAGACATCAGTCGGGTCATCATCCCAGGAAACTTAGTCTTTTGAATGCCTTCAGTACTGGATGCCGACTGCTCACTTCTGGTGCTAGCAAGGAAATTGGGAAATCCATCGCTGCAATTGTTGGAAATGATGTGTTTCAGATGGAGAAGCATATATCGAAAGCTTTGCATGAATGGGAAAAACTTCCTAGAGATCGATGTAGGAGGTGATAATTCTGCGACAGTTTAATGGAGGTTCTTGCATTTCTCAACATGTCTCGTTGCATATTGGCTTATTTTAGGTGTTTGGCATGCCGCTTAGACCTTCAAGATCACAATACAAAAGGCCTGCCAAGTAATAGAAATCTGTCACATTGGATTGGTCTTCATTCTCAGGCTTTTACCAACTCCTTTCGAAGTTTTGCCAAGCCAGGTTCCAGTCATCCAT